CGATTCTGACCACGCCCATCACATGCAAATGAAGGGTGTGGTCACTGGCCCCACCCCCGAAAATTGGCACGTGCGCTCTGGGTGAATCGACGGGGCGTGGCTCACTAAACCCCGCCCATCCGTTGTGACAAAATGGCCCACGTGATGGGCGTGGTCGGAACAAGCCCGCCCCACCCCACACGGGGGTGAATGAGCGGGGCCATGGCCACCCCACGCCCACCTCCAACTCGCGCCGTTGCCACAGCGACGGCGGCTGCGCGCGGGAACGGGGGCCAGGCGCCCCCTGCCGGAGAGCGCTGAGGCAAGGGTTCCCTGCGGGAAGGGCTCTGTGAGGGGGTGCGGCTATGAGGGGGTGGTCTCTGAGGGAGAGGTTCCTGAGGGAAGGAGTCCGTGAAGGGGAAGTTCCTGTGAGGGGGCGGTCTCTGAGGAAGGGGTTCCTGAGGGGAGGGGGTCTTCAAAGAGGAGTTCTTGAGGGAGGGGATCCTTGAGAATGAGGGAGTCTCTCAGGTGAGGGTCTCGGGGGTCCATTGCGGGGCCTGTTCCTCTCGTGCGGTCTCAGGGGCTCTGGGGTTGTTCCTGAGGGGAGTGGACGAGCCCCGGACCTGTTTCTTGGGGTAGGGTCTGACTGAGGGGATGCTGCTCTCAGTGGAGGACGGGATGCCCTGGAGGGCGCTTGGTTCTGACGGGCTGGAAATGAAGCCCACCGAGGTGTCCTTTTCTCCAGGGAAGCCCCTTGTGGATGGGGACACTTTCTAGTGGCTTTGGGACGCCTGAGAGGGGCATTTTAGCTTAGAAATGGCTTAAACCCCCCCTTTGACAGCCCTGAGTTGTTCCTGCCACCTCTCCCAGGTGACACAGCCGTTCTATCAGCCGCCGCCATGGGCTCTGTGCGTTCCCTGTCTGCTGTCAGCTCTGCCCTGAGCCACAGCAAGGCCGAGGATGAGGAGGGTGAGAATTTATTGGGCAGCCAGGAGCCTGTGGAGGACATGGCCAAGATTCCCTACATGGAATTCACAGGCCAGGACAGCGTCACCTGTCCCACCTGCCAAGGCACCGGATGCATCCCCACAGGTGGCTGCTCCTCTGGGGCCTAAAAACGCCAAAAAACAACTCTAAACAGCCAAAAAATTTCACTTTTTAATGTGTTATTCCCATTTTTGCTTCCCAGAGCAGGTGAACGAATTGGTAGCTCTGATCCCCTACAGTGACCAACGGCTTCGCCCTCAGAGAACGTAAGGGAGGAGTTCCTTTATCACTTATTGCTGCATTAGTTTTCACCCCAAAAAATAGGATTTAAAGCACGATTTTAAATATTTCTACTGTGCACACCACAATCCCACTCCCACCTTCCATCCCCTCACTGAAGTTTTGGGAGCAACTGCAAAAAAACCCCCAAAATCTTGCTTTGGTTAGTTTCTGATTATGCAGCCCCAAATGTGTAAAGGGAGGGTTTTGAGCCATTTTGATATTAAAAATGTGACAGCAGCTCTTGTGTGGCTCTTCCAAGGAAACCAAACAGGGGGTGGGGTTTTTTAGAATCCAAATCTTGCAGAGGAGCTGAAGAATTTAATTTTTTGGGGGTTTTTTTCCCCAGGAAACTCTATGTGCTGCTCTCAGTGCTGCTCTGCCTTCTGCTGTCTGGCCTGGGGGTTTTCTTCCTGTTCCCCCACTCCGTGCTGGTGGAGGATGATGGCATCAAAGTGGTCCAGGTGTGGTTTGACAGGAAAAACTCTGCTGTCCTCCTGGCCATCACGGTAAATCTTGTGGATTTGGGAAAATAAACCACCGGGGGAACGAGCCAGCGAGGTCAGGGTTGTTTCTGTCCCCTCCAGGCCACCCTGAGGATCAGAAATTCCAACTTCTACTCAGTGGCAGTGAGCAGCCTGAGCAGCCAGGTGCAGTACATGAACACTGTGGTGGGCAGCCAGCAGCTCACCAACATCTCCAGCATCCAGCCCCTGAGTGACAAACTGGTACTGACTGGGAGTTCTGGGAGTTGCACCTTGGCATTTCAGTGTCCAGTGGCCACAGCGGCTTTTGTGCTGTCCACTCTCTCAAAAATGGGGTTGAAGGGTGATTAAAGTGTACTGAAATCTGATTTTTCCACTCTGTTGCAGGTGAATTTCACCGTGAAGGCAGAGCTGGGTGGATCCCTGTCCTATGTGTAGTAAGGATTTACTGCTCCTTGGAGATACCTGGGGGAGGGAGAGGGTTAGAGCTGCTTTGAATCAGATTTGGGACATTAATCTGTAAATTGCTCACTTCTCCTGCTCAGTTTCTTTGCCAGGAATTTTCTCAAGGTGCTGTGAGATGGTTTTGTTAACACCAAAGTGAAAAATACCAGCAGGAGCTGCCAAAAAACCCCAAATTCCTCAGGTTTTTCACTTGCTGACCAATTTCCTTGATCTTTTCTAGTTTCTTCTGCACTTTGCCCAAGGTGAAGGTCCACAACATCGTGATCCTCATGAGGTGGGTGCCGCTCCTGCTTTGGGTTCTTGGAGCTCTTTCCACCTTAAAGATTCTCTTCTGTGGTTCCTGAATCCCAAGGGAATTCCAGCCACAGTTTTGGGCTCCTAGGAGAAAATCCTGCTTGGATTTTCCCCAAATGTCCCCCAAATCCACCTCAGGGTCAGGTTTTAATCCAGCCCGGGGGGTAAATATAGGGTGGAGCACACATCCTCCTCCAGAGGCTGCAATTCCCTCTTTTTCACTGAAACCTGCAGGAATGGGTTGGGGTTTTTTTGAGGAAAAGAGGAGTTTTGTGATGAATACAAACTACTGGGCTGTCCCTTTGCCCTGCCAGGACCTCGGTGAAGCTCTCCTACATTGGCCACAGCACCCAGAGCACCCTGGAGACCTTCCATTACCTGGACTGCAGCTCAAACTCCTCAGCACTGCTGCCTGCCCTGGCCCAGGGGGCTCCCTGAGGGCTCCTGGGGGCTCCCTGAGGGCTCCTGGGGGGCTCTGAGCGACCTGGGGCTACCTCAGGCTGGCAGCAGGCACCGGGAGTGTGTGGGGACAAACCCGGCAGCTCTGAGGCTCCTTCTCTTCTTTTTGGGAACGAATCTGGAACTTTCCCTCCTGAATGAAGGGCTGAAGTTATGAAGATTTACAGTGGTTTGCACCTGTTCTGGAAGCTTGGCACTGTCGGGGTGTTTTGGGGTAAATGGATTTAATTTTTGAGAGTAAATAATTTATTTTTTCAGGGGAAATGAATTTATTTTCCTGCTCAGTGGTGGCAGCACCTCAGGACCCCAGAAAGGGGACAGTTCCCACCAGGAATGTCCCTCTGTTACACTCGGGAAGGAGGCAAAGGAACCCAAATCTTTGGAATGAACTTTTTCCTCCTTTTTCCCCTGTGGCTCCAACATATTTGGCATCCAGAGGCTCTTTCCTGGGGTTTGAAATCCGGGAATTTGCTGCTTTTTATGCTCCATTTCCCACAGCAGCAGGGATTGGAAGGGGTTTTGTGGGAGGCTGGGATTCCAAGGCCTCCCTGCCGGGAGCTGGACATTCCTGCCGGCCGCTATCCCGAGGAAAATCCAGCTGCCAGCTCAGCCCCCGCAGCCCTTTGGCATTTTGCCCCTTTTTGGGAGTTTTCTTCTGGAATTTCAGCCCTCGTTTCCCATGGGATTTGGGAGCCAGGCACAGCTACAGGTGGGGGAATCCTTCAGTGGAAAAATTACTGGATTTTTGGGTGAGAGTGACACAAAATCCACACTTTGCTCCCTTTTCTGACAGGAGATTCCTGCCCCTGCAGTGTTTTTAGGGCTGAATCCTTCATTAAACCTGATTTGGATATTTCTGTGTGTGCTGTCCTTTATTTTTTTTTTAAGGAAAATCTCTGGATTTGTCCTAAATCCAGTGCTCTGCTGAGATTGCTCCTGTGTTTTTTCTTGCCCAAAAATCCCTGTTTTGCTGATAGATTTCCACAGAATCCCTGAATGGGTTGGCAGGGATGCTAGAGCTCATCCCATTCCATCTCCCACCATCTCAGGGATGGGGAATCCTCTGGGAATTCCATCCAGGGGCCTCCCTGCCCTCATAGGGTGGAATTCCTTCCCAAAATCCCACCCAAACCTTCAGTTCCCAGTGGGAAGCCACTCCCCGTGTCCTGTCCTAAATCCATCCTCATCTCTCCTGAAAGGTCACCCTGAGGCCTTCTCCAGGCTGAAAAACCCCATTTTTCCCAGCCCTTTCCAGGATTTTTTGGGGGAAAATGAGGGGGAAAAAGCTCAGCCAGGTGCCCATTCCCAGCTGGGACCGGTGCCCAGAATCCCAATCCCAACCTCCTTCCCTGGTGACCTGAAACTTGTCCCACAAATACCCAATTCCCACTGACTTTTCCTTTCATTTTTTTTTAAGGAAAAGGAAGATTTTCTGGGCATCTCCTCACACTCCCTTTCCCCCTCTTTATCCCCAACCCCATCTCACTTTTCCAGGGATCCTGGAGGGATTTTTTGGGGGGCTGTCCCCAGCAGGGACCCCCGAATTTTCCACTTGGTTATGCCAGGAGGGGAAAGGTTTGACCCCAAACCCTTTGTGCAGAGCTCCCATCATTAGGAGAGCCTCTCAAAGGGCATTTTTGGGTGGAAAATCCTCTTTAATCCCTCAATCCTCCTTAATGAATTTCCCTTGCCAATGTTTTGGTGCTGGGCTACATCTGGCAGCTGCTGTGCTTGAAACTGGGAGGGTTTAAAAGTCAAATTCTGCCCCAAAATGGCTTTTTAAAAGCTGTTTTCAAGATATAATTTCTCCAAGCAGAGTTTTGCCATCAAGAGAGGTAAAAAGAGGAGTTTTAACCCAAAAGAATTGGGATGAAGCTCAGGAATTCCTCACCCAGGAGCTGCCTGGGGCCTCCTGCATGAGAAATCAGAGCAGGTTTGGGGCTCTTCAGGGTCACTGGGCTGATTTTTGTCAAGATCATTAAAAAATCCCATTTCTGAGCTTTTTGCCTGTAATGAACAGCCTGGTGAGGAGAGGAATTTCCATCTGGGATTTTTTATGGCACAGCAAGAGGGGAGGACCATGGAGTCTCCTACTTCCAGTGCTGCAAAACAGCCCAAATTGGAGTTTTTGCAGGTAAAAAACAGGATAAAAACCCTGAGGAGGAGGGCACAGCCACCCCTTGCCCTGGTGACACTGGGATTGTCCCAATGCTAATTATGGGACAAGAATTCCACAATTAAATTCCTGCTTTTACAAAATTTCCCACTTCATAATTTTTCAGATTTTTCCCCCTTTTTTTTTTTTTTTTGGCTTCTTTGGGGAAATTTTCTTCCATTTTCTCCCTTAGTTTGAAGTATCGCAACCCAAAAAATTTGCTCTTTAAATGTTAAATGAGGATTTTCAAGGGATTTTTTCCCAACCTAGAGAACTTTATAGTGGTTGAAATGGGGAAGAAATACTTGAATCACTGTAAAATACACCCCCCAAAAAAAAGACTCAACTCAACTTTTACTTTCCACCAGAAGGTTTTTTTTTTTTAAACTTTTTTCATTTTATACCAACGGATGTTAAAAAATACAGACTTGTTTTACAAGAATAGCACCATTTTTTGTTTTTTGTTTTTGTTTTTTTGGTTTTTTTTTTTGGTGTTTTTTAACTCATATTATACATGAACACTCCTGCTGGGGGGAAGGGGCAAATTTGGGTGAGGAGGGGATTTTTGATACCTGGATTGATGAAATCCCATTTTTTTCAGGGAAAAAAGGATCACTGACATTCCCACCTCCACCTGACCTCAAAAACAGGTCTTCCAGGAAGAGAATAAATAAATATTAACGGGTTTTTCCTTTGATTCTGGTGTTGGGATGAGGTGGTTGCTCCCTGATTTGGGGTGAGCCCTTTCAGTGCAGAACTTTTCAGTTCCATTTTTGCGTGGATCCTGTTTTTTGTGTTTTTTTGTTTTTTTGTTTTTTGTAAGGAATCGGGCTGGGCTTTTTAAAAAAACAAAAACCAAACCAACAAACAAAAACCACGACAACCAAAACCAAACAACCACACCAAAAAAATTGGGTTTTTTTTTTTTACAAGAAGCAGACGGGGCCGAGGTCGACCCCAAACTCCTGCTCGGGTCCCCCAATGTCCATAGGTGCAATGTCCACGATGGGCAGGCGCGAGGTCTTCTGTGAGCGGTACTCGATGACAGTCCTGCCCCACTTCCCGGTGTGTTTCTGAGGGGAAAATGGGCCCAAATGGGGTCATTTAATCCATTAAATCCTTCCCAAACCCTTCAAATCCCGGTTTGAACCCTAATTTATCATCAGGTACAGAGGGATCCCACTTCCCGATGTGTTTCTGAGTGGAATGGGCCAAAATGGGGTTATTTAATCCTCCAGAACCTTCCAGTTCTTTCTTAGTTTGTGCCCATTTCATCGTTAAACCCAGAAGGGCCACATTTCCCAGTGCATTTTTGAGGGGAAAACATTGGAAAATGGAGTTTGGAGTCTCTATCCCTGGACCACCATGGCCAGCTGCAGGTGTTACGCAAAGCCTGGACACGGTAGCACTTGGTGACAAGATGCTGTCACCTCCCAGGCTGCCCTCGCTGACCTCTCCCAACCTTGTTAACCCCATGATTTCTGGATTCTGCCCTGATTTTCCCTGCCCCTCCCCAGCACCCACCGTGCAGCCGTCCTCCAGCACGCTGTAGGTGAACCGGCTGTTGCCCTCAGCACGGATCTCGACATCATTGGAGCCCTGGATGAGAAGCGCCTTCCTCAGGCTGCCCGACTCCTCGTCCAGATAGGCCACGCTGTTGCGGCAGTGGTAGGTGACGTTCTGGGAGCCCTCGGTGGACAGCAGCCTCAGGAAGGTCATCTGGATGTTGGCCGTGTTGGGTGCCAGGTCCTCAGCGCCGTAGCTGAACTGCAGGGAGGAGAGAGGCTTTCAGCTGGCTTTTTTTGGGGTTTTTGGGGGAATTTCCAGGGTTTGCTTTCTCAGAGGGGTGTTGGTGTCACAGCCTGCTGCCAAGATTTCCATGGAACTCTTTAAATCAACCAGTTCTGGTACAAAACCCATCAACTTCTCCCCAGGGAAGGACATCACTCCAAGTTCTCCATAAAATTCCTAAATCAGCCAATATCTGATCCAAACCCCATCAATCTCACCCCAAGGAAGGACACTGCTCCAAGACTTCCATAAAGTCCTCTGGATCAACCAGTTCTGATCCAACAACCACCAATTCCACCCCCAGGATGAACATCAGCTCCAAGGTTTCCATATAAACCTCAAATCATCCAGTATCTGATAGAACCACCAAAGATTTCACCCCAAGGAAGGATATCAGCTCCAACTTTTCTGTAAAACTCCACCCCCACTCCTTTTCCCTGTTTTTTCTCCACGCCCATCCCAGTCAAACACCCACGTGGAAGCCACCATTGATGGTCTCGGCAAACCAGACATGCTTCTTCTCCTTGGCTTTGCTGCTCCACCAGTTCTTCCTGGGGATGCTGCCGGGGCTGGGGTACACACACGTCTCCCCTGTGGCCATGTTGCAGAAGACCTTGATGGCGTCCAGGGTGCAGCCCTGGTTAGGGTCGATCCAGTAATCGCCTGCGGCCAAAGGGCGCAGAGTGAGTGACCACCCAGTGGTGAGGTCGGCAAGGAGGTCAGCGTGGTCCTTAGTGTCCAGGTGGGCAGTGGAGAGGACAAGGAGGAAGGAGGGGACATAGGGATGGACGCAGGGACGGACACAGGGCCAGACACAGGTGGATACAGGGATGGAGCTTCTCTCTCACCGCTCTTCCAGTCGGGGTGGCAGAGTTTGATGTCTCGGCAGGTCCTGGCCGGGTTCTTGCGGGAGCCCTCAGGGCTGCGGATGCTCTCGATCTGGTTGTTGAGGGCCTTGAGGGTGGCGTCCACCTCGGCATCGTGCGGCCGCAGCCCTGGCACCGCCTCATCTGCCCGCATGTAGCGCCCGGGGTCGGGGCCCTTCTCAGGCTGCCCCAGCCCCGCGAACGCTGACATGTCAATGCCGGTGCCGGGGGGCCCGGGCGGGCCAGGTGGGCCAGGGTTCCCGGGGGGACCCTGTGGGAAGGAGGAGCAGTCACGGGGTGATCGGCCAGGGCTTGGATCCCACTGCCCCACTGAATCCCTCTGCCCCACAGGATCCCTTCTCCCCACTGTCCCCGCTCACCGCCGGGCCGGGCTCGCCGCTCCTCCCGCGGGGCCCAGGGGGGCCGATAGGTCCAGGCATCCCATTGGAGCCGTCCTTGCCCGAGGGGCCCACGGGGCCAGGGGGACCCTGAAAAACCCCGAAAAGGGCTCAGGGCACAGCAGGGATGAGGCTGCCACCCCCAGGCATGGCACCAGTCCTGGGCACACCTCCTTTTCCCCCCAAAATTCCAAGACTTACCCTGGGCCCAGAGGGACCTGCTGGCCCGGCAGCACCCTGGTCTCCAGAAGGACCCTGGGAAAGATGGGAGGGTGGAGTATTTGGAATCCCACGGGAGATGTGGGATTTGGGGCGTGGGATGTGGGATTTAGGATCTATGGGGGGCTGTGACCCCAAATCCCGGCACTTACGGGGGGCCCGGGCAGCCCCTGGAGCCCTGTGAAGCCCCGGTGCCCCTTCAGGCCACGCTCGCCGGCCTCGCCCGCCTCGCCTTTGTCACCGCGTGGCCCCTGGGGACCCTGCAAGGGGGACACAGCAGGTCAGGAGCGGGGGGATCCCAAACTGCATTACCAAACCGGGATCCTCGGAATTCCAGGTGGGAATCACTCACCGGCATTCCCCGAGCGCCAGCGGGGCCAGAGGGACCCATGGGACCCTGAGCACCCTGCAGGAGAAAGGAGGGGAGTCAAAAACAGTGGGAATGGGATTTGGGATGTCGGATGTGGGATTTAGTATTCCCAATTTTATCTCCTGGGTTCTGTCCTGGGGTGACTCTCCCAAATTTGCCCTAAACCAGGACAGATTCCCAGTTCCAGCTCCTGGAGTTCTCAGGTGGATCCCAAACCAGGCTCCCAGGAATCCTCGGGAAGATGCTCAGAGCTGCTCCCAGATGATCCCAAACAGCTCCATGGCCCAGATTTGGGATGATTCCTGGTAATTCTTTTCTCCCCCCCATCTTGGCATGTCCTGCTCACCGTCTCTCCTCTGTCTCCCTGTTTTCCAGTGGGTCCCACGGGGCCGGGAGCGCCAGGAGCTCCGGGAGCACCGGGAGCACCCACGGGGCCGGTCTCCCCACGATCACCCTGGGAATAGGGAATGGGGTCAGGAATCCCAGGAATTCCAGCTCTGGGATGGGAGCGAGCACAGGGATAATGGGAAATCCCGGGAATTCTGGGGCTTAAGAAATCTGGGATGAGCTCACCTTCACCCCGGCCGCCCCGTCCCTGCCTGGGGGTCCGTCAGAGCCGGGATTTCCCTGGGAAAACAGAAGGAATTCAGCCTTTGCCTTTGGGATGGGGGTAAAACTCCTTTTTCCAGGCAAAATTCTACAGCGAAAACACACACGGATTTTCTGGTATCAACCTTAGAACCATCCCTGCCCAGGATCAGCCAGAGCTCCATCCTGGATATTCCAGACATTCCCAATTTTCCTACCTCCCTGCCGGGCTCTCCGGCTGGCCCCGTCAGCCCGGGGGGTCCCACGGGCCCAGGGGGTCCCCGGTCACCGGCAGATCCAGGTGCTCCCTGTTTTCCAGGCTCTCCCTAAAAAAAAATCAGGAAAACCCCCGCATGAGTGAATCTGGGATGAGGGATCGCTGCTCCAAGGGCAGAGAAATACTGGATTGTGGCTTTTCCCACTTCTCTGTGTGTCCCTCAGGGATTTCTGGGCCCTGGAACGGAATCGTGCAACCGAGGGATTTTTTTGGGAAGGACCTTCGAGCTCATCCAGCCCCTTTTATCCCACACCTGCCGCTCTCCCAGGTGGCTCCAAGCCCCGTGCAGGGACAATTCCAGGGATAGGAATGACGATCCTTAAGGTCCCTTCCAACCCCAAACCATTCCGTGATGATCTGGGGATCCCGGCTCCTGTCGCTCCACATCCCCGAGCCATCCTCCTCTTCTCCCAGCCCTGCCGATCCCTTTTCCCAGGCTGGAGCAGCACAAAAACTGCGGCTCCCGCTCACAGCTTTTGGAATTTCCAGGCAGGAATTAAATGCCATGCGGGAATTAAATTCCCCTGAGTCCCCACACATCCTGGCTGCCCCAGGGATGCAGAGCAGAGCCGGGATTTGGCCCTAAACCCCTCGTGCCGGCTGCATTGAGAGCGGAAAAGCAGCAGGAAATCAGGAGACCGGGAGGGAATTCAAACCCTCCTCGGCCACGAACTTTGCCCAGAGCTCGGGGGGCACAAATTCCCGGTGGAATAAAAGTGGGATCGATGGCAAATTTGTACGGAAAATGCGTCACGCTGGTCTGGTGCGTGGTCGTGTCAGTAGGGAAAAGCCTTGAGAGATTTTGGGACATTTTTGGTATGGAAAGAGCTGTGATCCCAAAAACACCGGGATGGTCGTGAGCAGCTTTCACCACTCCCCACCCCCCAGCCCTACCGAATCCACAAAATTGCCTCTGATGTGTTCCCATTTCTTCCCAGACCGGGGATTTTTGGGGTTTCTTGGGGATTTTTAGGGTTTTGCTCACCGAGGGCCCGGGCAGCCCTGGGAATCCACGCTCGCCGCGCTGCCCCGGCAACCCCACGATGCCGCGCTGTCCTGCCAGCCCCTGGGGACCAGGGGGACCATCTGGACCCTGCGGGGACACAACGGGGGTCAGCCCCACTCGGGGGAGTGGAAGGGGGTCCGGGGGGGTGTCCCCAAATTCCAAATACCGCAGGGCCGTCCTCGCCGGGCTCGCCTTTCTCGCCGGGGGGGCCGGCAGGGCCTTGCAGCCCTGGGTCCCCTGCTCGGCCCGGGGGTCCCGCGTCGCCCCGCGCGCCCTTGGGGCCGTCCTTGCCCGCGGAGCCGGGGGGCCCGGGGGGGCCGGGGTTACCCTGCAGGAGAGATCGGGCTTAGAGGGAACTCAGGAGGGGTTTCCATATTCCTGATCTGTCCCTGGCCCATTCCTGATCCCATTCCCAATCCATTCCTGATCCCAGTCCCAGCATTGCTCAGGGATTGGGGAGCACTGGGAATGTTCCTTTGAAAGGGGTGAGTGGTGGCAACCCAGGGTTGGCTTTGGTTCGGGGACATCGTGGGGAGTGGTGGCTGCCCAGACCTCTGAAGCTGGGGGTCAGCGATCCTGGCTGATCCCGACTGTCCTGAGCAATTCCAGAGCTTCCTGAGGTATCATGACTGTCCCAAAATGAGCTGTTCCCAAATGATCCCACTTTTTCCTCAGTGACCCCAACTGTCCTGAGTGACCCTAGATCTTCCCAAGCAATTCTGGCTGCTCTGAGTGATCCCCAGTGACCCCAGTTCCCCCCAGCTCACGTTTGGGCCAGGGGGTCCGACGCGTCCGGCAGCTCCAGGGAATCCAGTGGCTCCCTGGGGACAGAGGTGAGAGGGGCTCAGACCCCGCCCTTCCCCATCCCCATCCCTTCCTCCTCCCCCACCCCCCTACTCACCGGGGGTCCCTGAGCGCCTCGAGCTCCTTTGGGACCAGTGACACCTGTGGGACCCTGGGAGGAGGTAGAAAACCAATCAGGACAGTCAGGACCCAGAGATTCCTGGAATTCCAGGGATGAGGGGCCCCCACAAAGGATCGGCCCCAATTTTGGGGATCCCAGGATGGACCCACCTGCGGTCCAGGAGCCCCGGAAGGACCTTGAGGCCCGGGAGCTCCAGCGTCACCCTTCTGGCCAGGCTCCCCTTGCTCGCCTTTGGCTCCGGGCTGGCCATCAGCGCCCTGGGAAAGAACCACGGTCAGTGGTCAGCCGTCACTGGGGACACTGGGATGGACTGGGAACAAAACTCACCGGGGGTCCGGCAAATCCAGCAGGGCCGGGGGCTCCGGGCTCTCCGCGCTCTCCCTGTGGGGGAAACGGGGTGAAAATCAAGGGAATGGGGAAAATGCAGCGCTGCTAGCACTACAGGACAGGTGGCACTTACAGGGGCACCACGGGCACCGGCAGCTCCAGACGGGCCAGGGGGGCCGGACTCACCCTGGAAAGGAAGGAGTTGTGGGAGATGGAGGGGTTTGTTTGGATGGAGGCAGCTCGGGGCCACCCCAGGGATCAGGTGGAATCTGTCCTGGGAATCGGATGGGATCTGTCCCCATGGGAGCAGTGGCGGGGCCACTCTGGTCTCACCTTCTCGCCATTGGGGCCAGCAGGGCCAGGGGGGCCAATGGGACCAGTCAGACCCTGTGGGGACAGAGGGTACAGTGAGGCCACTGGGAGGGGCCCTAGGTGGCCACCATGGACATCCCTCACCAGCCAGCAGGAGGATGAGGCCACCAGGAGTGTCCCTGGCCAGCCACTATGAGAACCTCTGGCTAGCCACCATGAGTGTCCTTGACTGGCCCCCTCCGGCCCCATCCCCGCCCCACTCACGCGAGCTCCGTCCTTTCCGGGGGCTCCCTCGGGTCCCTTCTCTCCAACGTCTCCCTGTGGGGTGGGACAGGGCTGGCATGAGTCCAGCTGAACCCTGGTGGCACCCCGTGACCCCCACATCACTGTCACTCACCCTGTCCCCCTTGGGACCAGCGATGCCGGCTGCTCCTCTCTCCCCAGGCATCCCCTGCAGTCCTGGGGGTCCCTGGGCTCCGTTGGGGCCAGCAGGGCCAGTGGCACCCTGAAACAACAAAGGGACATTACTGGGGTGTCACCCCCTATGGTGGCACCGAGCCAGCTGGCGCTGTCCCTGTGTGTCACCCACCTTGGGTCCATCAGTGCCAGGGGTGCCGGGGAGGCCGCGAGGCCCCTGCAGGCCCTGGGCGCCGGGAGAGCCGCGCTCGCCGGGGAAGCCGCGCTCGCCCTGGGGACAGCAGGGATGGCTCAACAGGGACATGGGGACACTGGCACGGGTGGCACCAGGGGAAGGGCAGGGCATCATCCCTCACTGCCCTGGAGTGACTGGGAGGGACAGGGAGGGACAGGGAGTGGGACAGAAGCAGCACAGAGTGGGTGGCCCTGGGTGGGGACAACCAGGCTCTGGGATGCCCCGAAGTCCCCATGGGATGAACATGTCCCTAAGCTGGGAGGACAGGTGACACTGGGAGCCCCCCAGAGGTGACACTGGGACCTTTCCAGAGGTGACACTTACCCTGGGACCCACAAGCCCGGGGGCTCCAGCTTCTCCAGGAACACCCTGTGGAAAGGTGATGAATGGGTTTGGGGTCAGACCTGGGGGATTTGGGGGATCTTGATCCCACCTGGAGGGGGAATGGGGGTGTCTCACCTGATCTCCGGGTTTGCCACTCTCGCCGGGGGGACCTGGTGGCCCTGGCAGCCCCTGGGAGGGGACAGGAGCCACGTGAGAACAATGACAGCGAGACCCCCGAGCTTGGGCTGGCATCAGCCTGACGCCAAAGCCCAAACCTCCAATCCCTGTGCTCACCTGGAAGCCGGAGGGGCCGGGGGCTCCTTGCTCTCCCCTCTCCCCTGCTGGGCCCTGCGGGATGGACGATACTCAGTGACCCCAAAACCTTTGGGATTTCAGACTTCCCCCACCCCAAGATTTTGGGGATCCCACAAGCCCCAGCACTGCAGGAGCTGGGGATTTGTGGGTTTTGGGATCCCCCAGCACATCCAGGGGGGTTTTTAGCCCCAATCCTGAGCTCGCCCCGCTGCACTCACAGCAGGTCCCGGGGGTCCAGCAGCTCCAGTCTCTCCGTCCTTTCCAGGAAGTCCCTACAGAGAAGGGAAACCCTACTGAGCCCCAAATCCCATAAATCCCATTTCCCCCTTTCTCATGCCTCAGTTCCCCCCTTGGGGGCTTTTAGGGTGGACTGGCACCAAAACATGGATTTTTGGGGTTTGTGGGGACAGAAGACCTCACCCTCAGCCCTGGCGCTCCGGGAAGTCCTTTTTCACCGGCTTTTCCAGGCTCACCCTAAAAAAGAATGGAGGATTTGGGGTTGCAGCCCCAGGGAGAATTCCCAGGTCTTTTTAGAGGAAAAAAGGGTCTGTACTCACATTGGCACCTTTGGGACCAGGGAACCCCATAACGCCAGGCTGGCCCCGAGCCCCCTGGGGGCCGGGGGGTCCAGGGCGTCCATCCTCGCCAGGGGCGCCCTGTGGGGACAGGGGTCAGCGGGGGCAGGAGCCTGCTCCAAACCCCAAACCCCAAAAACTCCACACCCCAAACCACCCCAAGCAACCCCAAACCCCAAACCACCCCTGATGGGGTGTCACTCACTGTGGGGCCAACTTTGCCTTGGGGCCCAGCATCCCCGGGGCGGCCCGTGAGACCCTGTGGAGACAAAAAGGGTTTGAGGATGTCCCCTGGTGTGGAGGGCCTGACCCCATGACGGTGGGGTGACCCCAAAGGGCACCTGTGCTTCCCACAAAGAACGGGAAACCCCAAGGAGGAATTTTGGGAACCCCAAATGCACCTTGGGAATCTCAAAGAGCACCTGAATTAGCAGAGAACATCCCAAAGTTTCTTAATTAACCCGAACGTTTCTTAATTAGCACCAAAGAACACCAAGCACAACCCAAAAAATGGTCTTAATGCCAAAGGGCATCTTGGCTAATCCCAAAAGGACCTTATTGACCACAAAAGTTTCTTAACCACCCCCAAAATCACCCTAAACCAACCCCAAAATCACTTTATTGACCCCCAAAACCACCTTAACCACCCCCAAAACCACACTTACCAACCGCAAAAGTGCCTTAACCACCCCCAAAATCATCTCATTGGCCCTAAAAGTGCCTTAACCAGCCCCAAACCCTCCCCCTCATCCACCCCCCAGACCCCACAGGTGCCACCCCATCCCCATTTTTGGGGTCACCGCTGTCCCTCACCCTGGCTCCAGGCAGGCCAGGCTCTCCAGGGCGTCCGGGGTCGCCAGTGGCTCCTTTGGGGCCGGCCAGGCCAGCGGGGCCGCGCTCACCCGGGGCCCCCTGTGGGGGGATTTGGGGTCAGTTTGGGGGATTTGAGGTCAGTTTGGGGTTGTCACCCCCAGTGTCCCCAAAGTCCCACCTTGGGGCCAGCCAGCCCATCCTGCCCAGGGAAGCCACGGTTGCCGGGAGCGCCCTGTGGGAGAAGATGAGGATTTGTGGGGTCAGGGGAGGGTTTTAACGTCAAGGGGAGGATTTTTCGGATTGTGGTTGGTTCTTTGGGATCAGGGTTGTTTCCCTGGGGTCGGGGTGAGTTTTTTGGGATCAGGGTTGTTTTTTAGGGTCGAGGACACCACAGACCCTCTCTCCAGGTGGACCCAAAGGTCCGGCAGCTCCGGGTTCTCCGCGGGCTCCTCTCTTCCCTTCCTCCCCAGCTGGTCCGGGGGCACCTTGGGGTCCTGCAGGGCCCTGAGGACGATGAGGAAAAGGGGTCACAAGGAGCCTTCACCCCCTCCCTGACCCCCTCTAGGGACAAATCCCATAAATCCGCGTCCCCCTTGTATCCTGCCCGTGTCCCTGCTGGCGCCGGGGCTCAACGGGGGCCCCATTGATGGTGGTTAATGAGGCGAGGGGAGAATGTCCCCGAGGGGGGGCAATGTCCCCAAGGGGGGACACACAAACACTGCGGCCATTGTCCCACAGCCCCCCCGGCCACTGTCCCCCACGGGAGGGGGACGCTGCCCCTCCAGGGGCCTCGTTAGGGGAACGGCTCATTAGGGCCGAGGAGGCGCCGGAGGGGAGAGCGGGGTCAGGGATGGACACTGGGCTGGGGATGGACACTGGGACGGGGATGGACACTGGGACGGGAATGGACCCTCAGGGGAGCAGTGAGGGGTCAGGGGGTGACACTCGAATGGTCAGTGAGGACCAGGGACAGACCCCTGAGTGGGCAGGGGTTGGGAACAGACACTAGAAAGGAAACAGACACTGGGATGGGCAGTGAGGAGCCAGGGATGGACACTGGGATGGAGATGGACACTGGGATGGGCAGTGAGGCGCTGGAGCTGGACACTCAATGGACATTGAGGAGCTCTGGGTGTTCCCCAACCTGGACTCACCGTCTCTCCTTTGGGTCCCTGCTCGCCTTTGAATCCCGCAATGCCAGGTTCGCCCTGAGGATGGGGGACAATGTCACAGTGTCCCTACAGCTGTCCCACCCCAACCCTGGCCTGGTCTTCAGGTCCTTGTCCCCATCCCATTCCCACCCCCAGTGTCGCCTTAGGGGTCAGGGCCAGGTGACCCTGGGGTGACCCCGGGATGACCCGGGGGTGACTTTGGGGAGGGGACACCCAAAGGGGGAAGGCGTGAAGGAGGCATGGCCTGGGTCAGAAGAGGCGTGGCCAGTGGCCGGGGCGTGGTCAGTGGCCGGGGCTGAGTCCCCGGGGGGACATCGGGGGTCTCTCACCGTCTGTCCCTTGGGGCCCAGAGGGCCGGTGGCTCCCTGGGGTCCGGGTGGGCCGCGGGGGCCGGGGAATCCTGGAGCGCCGGCGATGCCTGGAGCGCCCTGCGGACATCGGCAGACGTCAGGGACCCCGCAACGTCCCTGTGTCCCTCTCAGTGTCACCAGTGTCCCGGTCTCTGCCGGCAGTTCCCGCCGCCCAGCAGCTCAAATCCCACCCTGTCTCTGCAGCCCCAGTGTCCCCCAAT